AAAAAGAAAAACTTAACGAATGTGAAGAGAAGGATAGGATATAATTTCACAATTATCTTCTCCTTTTAAATGATGAGGAGTTTTAATAAACCTTGACACCAATTTTATATTTTGTGGGCCTCACATAGACGGTTTAATTACTTTAATAAAATTTAGGATATAATTGCAAAATAAAATCATAGAATAAAAAGATATACAAGATACATGTTTACATCTATAGACCAGTTAAGTTAAATGTAAATATGATGATGATCATACCATTTTCTACTTCATAAAACAAGCAACCTAATATATTTTACAATGAATGCAAAAAAAAAAAATCAATAAATTTATCCATTTTTAGAAGGCACTTGCTTCACAAGACAAGAATATCTGTATGAAAAGAAAAGTACATCATCATAGTCATGCAGACGATTAGGGGTTATGAAGCTGTGTCGGGTTAGGAGATTAATACTCACAAGTGTGGTTTTTTGGTTCATGGCAAATTGCCTAATCAGTGTGTGGCGAGGATTCGACGGGTAACGGGGTTTGGTCTTAAGTCATTTCCAGTGCGCTACCTGGGTTGTCTGCTTTTTGTGGGGCGACGGAAGAATGTATTTTTCATGGAGCTGGTGCAATCAGTCACTAGTAAAATTTTGTCGTGGAGAAATAGATTTCTGTCCAATGGGGGCCGGTTTATACTTATTAAGCATGTTCTCTCAGCGATCCCGATTCATATGCTTGCGGCTTCATGTCCCCCGAAAGGAGTCCTTGTTATGGTTGAACGTGCCATGGCAAATTTCCTTTGGGGGGAGTGGGAGGGTGGCCTCCGGTATCACTGGATCAGGTGGGAAGAGTTGTGTGCTGACTCGACTCAGGGAGGGATAGGTGTTCGTTCGTTGTTGGGGGGTCCAATTAGCGTTCTCACTCAAATTATGGTGGCAGTTCCGTACAAGTGATTGTTTATGGTCGACATTTTTGCGGGCAAAGTACTGTCGTCGGAGTCATCCATGCATGGTGGCAGTGTGGCAGGGCAGTTCATATGTGTGGCGTCGCATGCTTCAAATACGTGAGCTTTGCAGAGCAAAATCTTTGGTGGCTGGTCCGATCTGGTCAGTGTAATTTCTGGTTTGACAATTGGCTGGGGTACACTATGTGCCAGCATCTACAGAGTGTTTCAGATCATTTAGTAGCCGACTTTGTATTGAATGGATGGTGGAATTTGCCCTTGCTGCGACGTTGGGTCCCGGATGACATAGTTTCAGAGATCGTAGCCAAGTTGGCCCCCACGGGGTCCGGGACGACTGTGCAGTGTGGGCGCTGACGGAGTCCGGAGAGTTCTCGATAGCTTCCTCCTACGTGCTGTTCAGCCGGCAGACACCTTCTTCATTCATGTTTGACAGGGTATGGCATCCTTTGACGCCAACGCAGATATCTTTCTTCATGGTGCGAGTGCTACGGGATCGGTTGCCGTTGGCATCTTCGATGGAGAGGTTGCATGTGCATGGCCCGTCTAAGTGCTTTTGTTGTTCGGCCTCGCAGTCTGAGTCACTGGAGCATATCTTCGCGGAAGGAGAATTAGCTCAGTTCCTATGGACATTCTTTGGGAGGGGCGTGGGTGTGATATATAGAGGTGTAGGGGTGCGATCACGACTGGCTGGCTGGTGGGGTCATCCAAAACGGAGCTCTCGTCTGGATTCTTTACACACAGTGCTGTCTAGTATAATCTGCTGGCATATCTGGCTAGCACGAAATCTTGCAACCTTTGAAGGACAGCGCCTGCGTAATCAGACCGTCGGGGATCGTATCCTGGCAGATGTGGTGGGGCTTTTTGGCGGGAGGTATGTGGGGGAGACTGTTGGGCTTGGCTCCTGGGTGGCATTCTACTCCAGTATCTCTGACTGGAGGCCTCGATATTCCCATAGACTTGTCCGCTGGGAGTTTCTGGCCCAGGGGGAGTTCAAATTAAATACGGATGGTTGTTCGTTAGGCAATCCGGGCCCTAGTGGTGGGGGTGGTGTGCTCAGGGATTCGACCGGTGCGATGCTGTTTGGTTTTTCTATCCTGCTTGGTGAGCTGACAGGTACACAAGCGGAGATCAAGGCTTTGATATTTGGTATGCAACAATGTCTCCTTAGGGGATTCTCGAGGATTCAGGTGGAGGTGGACTCTCTCGTGTTAGTCAACATACTACTACATAAGATGAGGTGTCCGTGGCTAATTCGGTCAGAGGTTGATGCGCTAGTTGCTATCCAAGGCTTAGAGTGGACAGTGGGGCATTGCTATCGTGAGGCGAATCAGGTGGCAGATACTTTAGCCAAGGTAGGGGCACGGGCAGAGGGTATTGTCTTCTATGCATCACAGTCAGATTTTCCAAAGGTGGCAACGGGGGCCTTGAGCTTAGATAGGTTGCAGACGCCCATTATTCGTAGTAGAGTTGCCCGCAATTAATATCTTTGTAATTTTGTTTTTGGTCTCTATTAATAAAAAGGGGTGGCGTCCCTCCCCGCTTTAGGAAAAAAAAAAAAGTACATCATTATAGTACAAAATTTCCACAGGCCACATCTTATTTCTCCACTTCTACCAAAACTAAATTGCTTTTTGAGTTGATAAGTTTAAAATTGTAAAAATAAGTATAACGTTAACATCACAAATTAATCTCAAACCATAAAGAAGAAACGCCTACCAGACATAAACCTAGATATTTTATTGTAATGGATGAATTACTTAACAAGTTCAAAAATTGAATAATAGAGATTATATGTTGAGGCATCTTCTTTTAATGCATATAGGTAAAGTATAATTTTTACTAGGTTGTCAAATTAACAAGTATCAATTGATTCAACCCAACTCCTAAACTAATATTAATAACTATACATAGGGTATTTAATCTTGTCAAAATTTTATGTATAATTAAGTGAATAACTATCCAAGAAGAGTTTAGAAAAAACTACTTAAATTTATCATTGTGTTAGAATACATAACAAACAAATGTCATTGATAAACATGAAAATATGGTGCCATAAAATATTTTTCCTACAAATCAAAGGTAATACATAATGCACAACACCAAAACAATAGAAACCCAGATGGAGCGTAGGAACAAAGTAGCAATGAGATATAGAAAATTAGAATAGCTAAATAAAACTTTCAAAAACACATATGCAAAACAAATAAAAACTAGTTAGAATAAATAATGCTAATTAGATGCAAATAAAATGTGAAAAAAATTCTTCAAATGATTCCAGTAAACACCAATTTCTTACTTAGTAGTTTTTAGGCTACCTAAAGCATATATCTATCCCATACGATTTTCTACTACTAAGATGATTATACTGAGTTATTATCTTGACTTAATTTCAAATTGATATGCTTAATCATGAATAATCAAAGTTTTTGAGTAATAATTGAGTTAGGGCTGATAATTCTTAGAAATAAAAATAAATTAGGAGCTAATGAGAATATTTATACAATGTAGAATAAAATAAAGGTAATAGTAAAAAGATATAGAGATTTTGATGACAAGATTTAAACTTTTCATAAATGGACATAATCCACTCAAATATCTACAAAAAAAAAAACTCAAACTTCTTCACATGATGTGTAATTAAAGAAAAACACTAGAAGTTATTACTTGATTGATTTGCAAGAAGTATGAGAAGTTGATTAAAAATAGACATGGGTGATTTGGGAAAAAAAGTATGAAGGAAAATCCGGTCGCAAGAGGATGCTGAAAAGGTCTGGTTTTGGAGGAAAGATATAGGAGAGAGTAAGAGAGTGAACCAAGTCAAATTTTCAAATTTTGACAAATTTTTAATTTTTTTAACCTAACTTAAAACTTAACACCGAATTTTTCTGCAATTCAGGGAGTGTTTTTTTTTAAGGAGAGATTGTGGCTATAGATAAGTGCTGTTATAAATACCCTAATACAAGTCAATTATTAGCTAATACTAATTTTCTTCTAAAACTACTTAATTTTGTGTACTAAAATAGATGATAGAGATGAAGTGCCATTAAAACTACACTTTTCCTGCACTTTAAGAAAAGTACCACTAGATTCTAATAAAGGTATTTTTTTCTTGGAGTGTGGATAAAGTTCTGCAAAGTGAATCAACTTTCCCTTATTAAAAATGAGAAACCATTATTTGGAGCAAGACATTCCATACAAATAAATAATTCAACATTTAACTCAATAAAATACTCATTCAACTCCTAAAGTTGTAAATATATTATACAACAAAACATATCTACTTTCTAGTAGTGTAAGTGTGTAATATTTGAACTTTCATGCATTGACCTTTATTTGATAGCATATGTCTCACCTCTATTGAAAACTTCAGTACCATATTTGCTGCAAAATGAAATTATCTCATCTAACAACACATTCCATCCATAATCTCTCATCAACTATAATCACTATTTAGGAATTTAATCAGAATCATTGCATTCAAAACATTTTGATCTTTTTCTCTGCAATGCTAGTGATTGCTCATTTATTATCTCTAACGAAGTTTTTATAAATGCAAAGTAAATGCAAAATTAAATATTTGCACACTATCTAAAACACTATCATGTTCAACTTTTTGTTCTAAAAGTTGAAAACATCATCCACAATATATTCTAAGATATCCAATATAGTGTGAATTGACAATTGACTACATTAGCACACCATAATATGAACTCGAAAGAGTATCACCTAACCTTTTAAAACTAATTTTTTTATTCAAATCACATCCACTAATGATTTCCCCATTTTCAAGTGCTTGTTTCATCTTATCTCTTCTTTTTTCTTGCAACACATCATGTCTTTTGCATGATCCTCTGACAACTTTCGATAACAAAGAAATCAAGTTGAAAGGAGAAGTGATTGGAATGTTATTGTCTACAACAGCAATAATTGTAAGTTGAACTTGATTGTAATCTTTGGTTTCATCAGAGAAAAATGTAAAAAAATAATCTTGAACTGGTGCAACAAACAGCTAAGTCAAGCAGGAAAGGAGGTGTTGCTGAAAGCAGTAACCATGGCAATGCCAACTTATGCAATGTCATGTTTTAAGCTTCCAGTAAAGTTATGCAAAGAAATCAACGCTCTGATGGCAAGATTCTGGTGGGGGGAGGATAATGGGAGGAGGAAAATACATTGGTGTTCATGGAAAATGATGTCAACTGAAAAGAACACCGGTGGACTGGGTTTTAAAGATCTCCAAGGCTTTAATAAAGCTTTGCTAGGCAAGCAGATTTGGAGGATTCTCACATGCCTGAATCTTTTGCTTAGTAAAGTGTTGAGAGCTAAGTACTACCCCAAGACATCACCACTGAGCTGTGAAGTAAAAGGTAATGCATCATGGATATGGAAGAGTTTGATGGGAGCAAGAGATGTGGTGCAGCGTGGAGCTAGGAAAAAAATTGGAAATGGAAAGAGCACCAAAATTTGGGAAGATGCTTGGCTACTGGAAGGCAAGGAAGGCAAGGTAGAATCCCCAAAACCCCCGGATTGTAAGGTCACAAAAGTTAGTGAGCTAATATCTGGCTTTAGATGGAAATCACCACTCATTTTTAGGACCTTTAGCTCACATGAAGCTGGAAATATACTCAAAACGCCTATAAGTTTGACAAGTAGACCTGATTGCTACTTTTGGAGTCATAGCAAAAATGGACAATACGCGGTCAGGTCTGCTTATGAAGCATTGACAAAGGAGGATAAGTAGTCTAAAGCACAAGTGAGCAGATTGGGAGAAACAAGTTGGACAGGGGGAAGCGACACAATCTGGAAACAGCTATGGAAAATGAGAATAAAACACAAGCACAAGCTGTTTTTATGGAAGAGCTTGCATCAAGTTTTACTGGGAAGAGAAGCTATAGTTAGGAGAACAGGAAAGGGAGACATAATCTGTAAGCAATGTGGAGAAACCAATGAGACAGTTGAGCACATTTTCTTCCAATGCAGCAAAGCAAAGATGATATGGAATATGGCTCCATTACAGTGGGATGGACTTAATGAATACACAAGCGACTTCAGAAAGTGGTGGAGTATGCTAATGGAAGTAAAGGCTAGAAAGGATGGAATGGAACACATAGCATTAATAGTGGACATCCTTTGGCACATCTAGAAAGCCAAAAATGAAGCAGAATTTGAAGGAAAAGATAGACATCCAATGGAAGTAGTTAGAAAGGCAGTAGACGACTAGGAGGAGTATCATAAATGCCAACAGGCAGAGCAACGTATGAGCATCTCAAAAACAGAAACAGCAAACGAACAAGAGGACAGGGGGGAACCAGAGGGAAACATGCTGATCATTCGTATAAATGTGGGGCAACACATTGAAGGACAGAATATGGGAATTGGCATCACAGCAACAAATGCACTGAACCAAATTGGTGCAGCGTGGATGCTGAAGGAAAGAAGCACCGGATCAGCTGTCTTGGACAATTTGGTGGCTATACAATTGGCGCTTTGTAACCTAAAGGAACGAGGCTGGCAGAACATCCAGATTCAGACATCATGTAAGCAGATTTTAAATATGATAATCTGCCAAGTCGCAAGCAACATGCGTATAGCAGCCCACCTAGAGTACATAAATGATCTAAGCTCAATGTTTAGGACATGCTCCTTTGATAGCCAGCCTGGTAATGGTAGTACTAATACACTCAGTTATAAACTGATTAAGCAAGCAATGCACATCTATTTTGATGAGGAGTTCTTTGATCCTCAGTGTCTTAGTACACTTTTTAAAGGACAAGTTTGAGCCCTTGCTCATATATTGTAATTTTCTCTCTTAGTAGAAATAAATATTTCTATCGTTTCCGGAAAAAAGAAGAAGCAAAACAATAGACATAGAAAGTAAAAGGATTCTCTTTTAAAAACAAACTTTTGAAGCAGTTAAACTCACCCACATTCTACTCGCACCATGATAATTTTGTCCTCCACACTCAAACCAAATTTAGAAAACAATGATTCTATTGATGTCCTTAAGTGTCGAAGTAACAATATTCGTAACATGAATAATTCCAAGAAAACGCTCAACAACTATCTCAGTCTTAGTCACATAATGCAATGCAATATCAAGTTGTTCTTTTTGGGAAATTTCACATGACTCATCAACAATAATTGTAAATAATTCATTTCCAAACTCGTTTATAATAGCATTAGTAATCTCAGTAGCAATGGCATTCACACTGTCTTCCTGAATATCTGAAGAGGTCAATTGATTATTTTCTGGAACATTTCATAAAACCATATTTTTTTATCTCTTCATTTTGATAAGCAAGAAAATTCAATAGTTCGAGAGAATTATGTTGAAGAGATGAACTCTTGGTTTATCATGACTATGAAATGCTAATTCTGAGACAAAAGAAATAGGATGCAATCCATTAAAACAATCAATCTTGTCCTAAAACACTTCAAACTTGATCAGATTGTTACAAAAAACAATCTCAATGTGTTAATCTTGTTTCAACAATGATACACATTTTTGCCAAACATTACCATGGCCACTATTTGGAAGTCCAATATGTATAGCCAATCTATCTTTTTTATTCCAAATACTAAAGCCTCCTACAGTAAACGAATCTCCTCCCCTTTTTTTTTCCTAATGTCATGTGAAAATAATAACAACATAAGCAAAACACAACATCCTTATTTATGCTATATGCCAACAAATTTCCAACCAATTCTCATATTTATTAAACAAAGTAGGACAAAACTGAAGTGCTAAATTTCAATTTTTTGTATGGAAAGTTATTATAACAAGGTTGATAAGGCCATTTCAATAAATATGCTTTTTATACTTTATCTCAATTATTTGGGTCATACTAAAAAACTTGAATACATAATCCAAGATATGATATAAGATCATCCAAATCAATTGGAGCTCTTGATTTTTTGGAATATTTTGCGAACCACCAGTAACTTGATCTTCTATGGGTTTTCTTTTAAGAAATTTATACATAGCATATTATAAAATACAAATTTATTAATAGAAAGGCAAAATTTACAAGTATAAAAAATACTTATCCAAAATGCACCTGCTAATGTATACATTAATTGCTCTCTTCTATGGTCCTCTAATCTATACTAAAATTATAATTAAAAAATAGTTTGCTGTCTTTTGTAGTCTGAGACTCTAAACAGACAACCTTGTCTTCCTTGGGTTGACCTCAAATCAACTTAAAAAGCCATTCTTAATGAATGGCCATCCAAATCAAACATATTTATATTTCTTTGTGCATATTATAATATCAAATATTAGCTTTATAACTCCACTGACACATATTGCAAAGACATTCATTCATAACACTTAGGGGCTGCTTGGTTAAAGGGTTTGGGAATCACAGAATGGAATAAATCCCTTATTTGTTGCTTGGGTTAAGCCTATTAGAATGCAATTTTTGGAGTTATTTCTAAAAATGGGACTTATCCCATTCTCGAACAAATTGGGAGATTTTGGACAAAACCCTCAACTTATTCTCTCGGACAACATTTATGACGGACCTACCCATCACATACAAAACTCTTTTACCCTCTCTTTCTCTCCATCACACGCCACTCTTTCTGTTCTTCTTCTTCATCAATTTTCCTATCTCTTCTTCTTCATCATATAGTCTTCATCTGTAATCCAAAATCTCTTGAAAAAAAAAAGATTTAAAGTGGATCTAAATAGATTAATAGTGAGCAAATATCTTCAGTGGGCAAATTGGTCAACAAGATCTCCACGAGAAAGATCTCTAAGAAAAATTGAAGAAAACCCTCCAGCCAAATTTCTCCTATAATTAATACTAAGGTAGAATTTGCGATTTGAAAAAATGGCGGAGATGCTAACTGGAAAACAACCAATTCAGTCTCCAGGACGGGATGACATGGTTGATCTCCCAATGTGGGTCCAATCAGTTGTCAGGAAGGAATGGACAGCTGAAGTTTTTGATGTCGAGTTGATGAGGTTTCAAAATATTGAAGAAGAAATGGTGCAGATGCTGCAAATAGCCATGGCATGTGTTGCCAAGGTGCCAGACATACGACCAAACATGGATGAAGTAGTTAGGATGATTGAAGAGGTCCGGCAATCTGACTCGGAGAATCGGCCATCTTCAGAAGAGAACAAATCCAAGGACTCAACTGTGCAGACCCCCTGACTCCTTGGAGGCTCTCCTTGTTTATGTTTTTTGCAGTTTCCCATTTGTATTTTGAAAGGATACTCTGTTCGTATAATGGAGGAAAGTCATAAAGAGCTGGTGTTTTATTGGAAAACGGGTTTATTTTTATTTTATTCGATAAATAAATTTGTTTATAGGAAAATGGGTACTCTATTCTTATAATGGAGGAAAGCCATAAAGAGCTGGTCTTTTATGGGAAAATGATACTTTACAGAAAGTGACCGCGATTTGGTTTATGAAATTACCCCAAACCAAAATTTAGAATGAATTTGTTTGTTTTGAAACCTCAACGGAGTGTCAGTGCAAGTGTTAGAAACCTCAAGGGAGGTTTCTGCAATTATCCCTTTGTTTTATAAGAATTGTTATATCAGGGGTAAATTTGGAATTTAATTGCATTTAATTCCAAAACACTCATCAAACCAAGCATCAGGAATTGGAATGATACTAATTCCAATGTGTGAACCAAGCTAGATATTGGAATGAAAAGTTTAATTCCAAAACCAGAGTCTATGATTCCATTTCCATTTTCGATTCTAATATGTGAAACAAGCATCCCCTTAGATTATCACTGAAGAGTTTCAGTTAAATAAAAAAGAACAAAGAAATCACATTGACTATCAATCACTTGTAAAATTCTTAAACCCTAATTATAAAATACATAATTAATCATCACATAAAATTAATTAAAATAATATGATATTCAAGTAAGCAATAAAGCAACAAGTATTACTAAAACCCTCTAAGTTTATTGTTAAAAAGTTAAAAACATATATAAGCTTTGAGTTTTAACTTCTACTAACCTCAAAGTTTAAATTTTTGAAACAAATTTTGAACCCATACGAGAGTTTAGATTGTTTTCTTCTTTCTCCTAGTAAGTTGTTTTAGGCTATCTTAGTTTTATCTTAAATCCTTTATTAAATCTTGATAATTTCCAACTTGTTGCTTTCTCTTTTTAGGCTTGTTGTTTCTAAAGTTTTTGACCCTTTTTATTCTTTGAGAGTTTTTGATGTTTTGTATAAGTAGTATTTTCTTTTAACTACGCTTGACTTTTTTTTGTCTTTATTTCAATTTTACTCCCCCTAAAAATTATGTTTTACTTAATGAAACTTAAGAAAAATGGAGAAAGTTAAGAGGCATTTTGACTTGGTAGAAAATCATTTATCTAAGTTGACTTTTAATTATTTATTGAATTATTGAGTCCTACCTCAACATTTTGATTATTTGACATTGACCCCACTATAATTTTTTTAAATAGGGCAAAGATCCAAACAACTATATATCTACATAAAATTTTGAAAAATTTAGTAGGGTTAATTGTCACCACTTGGAGCAACATAGATCTATCAATGCAAGGAAATCTAATGGATTACATAGATTAAGAAATTTATCCATGGATTAAAAGGAATTGAAGTTAGAATTTAAGATAAGTATTTATAGCTTAATTCATGATACAAATAAAATTGAGGAACTTAAATGCAAATAAGGAAGTTTTCTAAGAAAAGATTTATCAAGAAAATATAAATATCTACTTCTAAACAAAGTTGCGAAGCACCTCTGG